AGCGTCACTGTAGGCAAAACCGGGTGAACGTGCGTCTGGCGTGGCTTCAGTGTGTTATTTTGAATCAGAGAACACCAGACGTCGTTGATTTCTCGTACTCTTGTTGTTTAATACTGACAAGGTGGAGGGGAACGCCAGGCTATGTTGATTGCTTGTGCTGGCACTGTTTAGTACGGACAAGGTGGAGGGGAACGCCAAAAGATGTTGATTGCTTTGCTGACGTTGCTTTTTATGTATCTGTCCTGTACCCAACTAGAGGTCCCCGTACACCTAGGCACTCAGTATGCATGGAACACAACACCCACACCCATAACTCGTATTCACAAAATTTTGTCTTTGTGACACCCGATACGCTCACCTAAACTAACTATCGGTTTGGCTCATTTCATCATCACATTTTACAGACTAGCAACGCATGACATTAATTACGTCTTGCCTGAAAATACAGTAAATTAAATAAATATAATGTAGAAATTCGTGATAAATAAACCAGATTGTACCCCGGGGCTGGACACAAGTCATACAATACTAAGAGAACGAGAGAACACGAATGACGGAAAATAATCGGTCAAGTCTTTGTGAGTTCTTAGTTCCGGCTACCTTGTATTACCGGGAAGTGAAGAAAAGGAGAAATTAGTGGCAAATAATACAATTAAAACAAAGAGGATGTTAGACCTGTGTTAATTATCTAGTTATTTATTCAACAATAAGTGTTCGTCAGCCGGATGCAAACCTTACCCGCGAATCGTTACCATGGCAGGGAAAATATCGAACTAATGACAATGTTGCTGTTAATGTATAGTCACGGCTGGATTGATTGTTTTATGTCATCGTTTTCTTTAACTGTCGGAAAGTTCTATTATCATGGTAACACTTAGTTGCTTTTGACACGATGTACACCAAAGGTTTTTCATTCGGACATTGTGTTATATGTTAATGAAACCTAACAAGTTTGAGGTAAATCCACAAACTCGTTAACGAGTTATTTTCAGGACAGACAAACAGACAGACAGGGCACACAGTTAAGGGCTGGGTAAGAACGAGAGGAAAGCGTAACACAACCCAGCAAGAGATAGCGTGGATTACTCGAAAAATTTAATATGCAAGAGAGAGAGAGAGAGAGAGAGAGAGAGAGAGAGAGAGAGTGTTGTATACACCAATAGTTCGAATTCTACTCTGGTTTCACTCAACAGCGGTTAGAGTGAATTCACTACAATTCACTTTCTCATTTGACTACGATATACATCAACTCTAAATATGGAACTCAAAATCTGAATCCATCTTTTCATCCAACTATGACTCGCGGTATCTGAAGGACAAAGTCAATATACACAACACGCCATCGAAGTCAACAGGATGCTCCCTACCATCTTATTTAACTTTCATAAGGCCGACCTGTTTACCTTCGAGCAACTGTGTGGCTGCCTCACTTTCCTATGTATAGAAAAATAATAAAAAAGAGATTGAAGAAGGAGAAGGAAAAGTAGAGAACAAACATTCAAAAAAGGAAGAAGAATCAGAAGAAGATGAACCTTAAGAAAATGATAAAAAGGAAAAATAAAAATAATAAATAACTAACAGAAGGCAATAGGGTCGCAGCCTTATACCTAATTTAACGGAAGGTTGCTATAGATGAAATATGATTTACGATATATAGAAATTCATTCCGGTAACCAAAGTTTAAATTTCGAACTTAAGGTAACCTCCAGTGTGACTTGCCAGGGAATCCCGAATCCCGATTAAGTACAGTAGTCACGTCCTTTCTGTCTTTTTTTTTTAATCGTGACTCGGTGTTTTTTTATTTCTTTACCTGTTTGTGTTGAGCAAAAGTAAAAGGAACACAGATGTAAACCTTTGTCATGACTCGTTTTAACAACATCAATTATCGGGTACAGTCACTTCACTAAATCTATGTTCTCAACAATCAAAATGAACCACTGGAGTATAGTTGCCGGAGTGTTCCAACAGGTGGAGCTGATCATGCCTGGCGACTTTATACACAAATCACTAATGTGAGAGGAAGATTAAATTATAATTAAAACATGTAATTATGAGACTAAACAATATTTGGATACTATACTCCCATATTTTGAATGCATAGAGAAACGTTACCACACATGTTTCTAAATAGGTAGGGCAGTGGTGGGAAACCCAGTTAGTTAGTGGACCACATAAGTGACCTTATCTCATCTCAGTGGACCACATAAGTAACCCCCCCATCATCTCAGTGGTCTACATAAGTGTGTGCTGACCTTTCTAGAGGAAAAGTCACGGCCAATTTAACTCCCGGAGATTGACCGACAGTGCAATGGCTAGTGTTAGTTGTAAACAGCTCTGTGCCTGTTGAAGGCTGAGTTATTGAAGGTCCAGGACGAGAACTTGAAATTAAAGGAAGTGATTGCGAGAATGAAGGAGGAAAACACGAGACAGGTGAAAGTCTGTGTCTGTCGACAACACAGGCAAGTGGAGGGTCGTGAGGAGAGGAACGACCAAACTGATGGTGAAAAAAAAAGCAGGGAAAAGGTAACAGCTAAGTGCACTAAGTTTTTCAATTCTTTGGTAGACGAATTGAACAGTAACATAGTCAAGGACAAGGTCGACAAGGTACTAAAACCTTAATTGGTGGTGATTCGCAGGAAAGATACAGTTGGCTCTACTCCTGACTTTGCCACTTAGAGTTTTCAATCCTCTCTCCCTCAAGTCTGAACCCCAAACGCTGAACTCTAAATTCAAAGCATTCGCCCTGTGAGAGGGAGGGATAGGGGAGGGGGGTGTCGGGGTAGTTGTCCTTCTTGAGGGAGGAGGGGAGATAGGGTACTGGAGGTGAGGAGGGAAAGTGAATAGTATCTCAGTTGGGAAAATTACAAAGCAGAATAACGCTTTGACAATATCGAATTCACACTTCTGAGTTCAAGCAAGAGTGAAGATTGGCAATGCCAAGTGGTAAAGTCAGGAATGGAACCAACTGTACCTAGATAGAGCTTTCTCTGCCCAAAAAAGAAATAGGACGAGAGTGTGTTTGCCAGGAGCTGGGATGGGGGGTATAGTTGACAGGATGGACAATATCATGTCTTGTAATGGAAACAAACCCTTAACTGCCGACTGGTTCGACGGTTAGATGAAGTCACGTATTAAGGATGAGAGGAACCCGCAACGTGGACTCGCTCAATGTTTATTGATTGATATGGTCAAAACCTGTAAATGTGAGCCTCTTGTTAACTCTTGATTACATTCCATTATATGTATAAATTATACGTCATTTAGTAAACACACTATTCTGTATGGTTATTATCCAAATTGCCTTACACTATGCACGTATGTAGTTCACAACATTTCACCATAATACAAATAATCACCGCTCTTTCACTCACATGTGCGGACTTATAATTCCACTTAACTCCGAGTATCGCTCTAAGTAACTCCTGGTTATAGCTAGTGTGTGTACACTTGAAGGGGCAGAACGATACTGTCAGCCAGAGGCGTCTCTAGCCCTTATCTATAATCATAACAACAAAATGCTTGTTGTGCGTTCACGAACATTTGGCGAGGCGCGGCCACCGGCCACCACCCATCACATGGTATGTGAGTCAGAGAGGTTGCGGCGTACCATGTTTGTGCTATTATCTGAGTGGATGCGTTCAGGAGTACCTCTGAGTGCCATGAAACGGGTGATCCCATTGATGAGAGCGTCGGCATCAAGAGAGTTGAGCACTTCCAGATGGACTGCACGGGTTGTCAAGCATGAACAGACACTCATAGCCCATAGCCCTTGTCTGTCTTGCGCCCTTGTTTGGTCTGGAACGGACCAAAACAATCCAATTGTCAGGGCTGTAACGAGCAGGATGGTTGTCCGCCGCTCGTTTGCTTGTTCGCGGCCCCCACTAAAGGGGGGGGGGTGGTAGACGGAGGTGAGAACGTCGCTGCTGCCTCGTCGCACACAGGACACTACCCAGCCGTCAACACAGCTGTACTTGCACCCAGCTGTTCGTTCAAATTCTGGTTGTGTGCTCATCTGAGGTCCTGGGCTCGTGGGCTGATTCCCCAGTCCTTCACTATTCGGCTGTCAATCTCCGGACACCTGCTCCAGCTACTACCGCGGCTACCACGTCATCGCCATTTCCTCCACGCCCTATCCACCGTCCGTGCCCTGATGTCTCTCCTATGTGGCAAGACATCACCCTCCAACGCAGGCGCCAAGTGAGGAAGCTGCCCTGGACTTTCCCCCTGTGAGAGGACCACCGCGTTATCGGAACATTCCAGCAGGCTGTCGTCGTCGGAAATATCTATACATTGTTTGACTCCAGTAATTGTTTGACTCCATTAATTGTTGACTCCCGTAATTGTTTGACTCCCTTAATTGATTGACTCCATTAATTGTTGGCTCCCGTAATTGTTTGACTCCTTTAATTGTTTGACTCCCTTAATTGTTGGCTCCCATAATTATTTGACTCCCATTAATTGTTTGACTCCCTTAATTGTTGACTCCTGTAATTGTTTATATGATATTTGTGAGTGGTGTCAGTTTTTGTGTTTATTTTCCTACTAAAGAGATGTCAATCTCTAACGGTTGTTTGTTATCCCTCGGAAAACCATGGTTCTTGACTTTCCTCTTATAAGATCCTGATTAGGCTGGCAAGGGATTTCTATCCCAAAGTCCCAGGCCTTTACACCAATCCTGTGAAGGCAAAGGCAGGCTTTCCTGGGCAGGTCCGATCTGCTGACAGCACGGCTTCCCTTTGATGCATGGACACCCAGTTGTTGCGACGGCAGACAGTGCATGCCTTGGAAATCTTATCCAGGAGACCACGTCACTTAGGTATCCAGAAATTTTTATGCAACAATGAAAGCGTGTGCTCCCTTCCAGAATGTCCTGCATGTACTGCATGTGTTCCTCGTACAATTAGCGTAGTCACCGGATGATCACGTGGGAGCAGTATTGCCCCATCATGTGTTGCCGCCCATTCACGCGCAGTCTTCCTCCAACCCTCATCAGGCCATATTCAAACATGTGTCAACCTTTTCTTTGCAATGAGCCTCATTTCTTGTTGGTATCGCTCTCTCTGCATCACTCTAAAAATTGCTGTCTTGGCGTGGCGTAACTCTGCCACACTTAACACGGTGATGTTTGTTGTTGGTGTTTTATCTTTGAGGACGTTGATAACGCTCCGGATCCAAGCTACTCCTCTTTGAAGCTGGAGCCAAAAAGAGTACCTTTCCCATAGGCACTGCAAGGGTTCTTTGGTCCTGTTTACTATGGAGGTCAGTGAAGTCACGTCCCCTTTCACTTCACGATCGCCCTTGAGCTCCATGTCAACCTGTGGTCCCTTTGACCAATACTCGGGAGGTAGCCTTATAAACCTTGGACCCTGGGTCCAACGACAATTCTCCAGTATCTGAGAAGAGGTTACTCCTCGTGTTGCATCATCTACCGGGTTCTGCTCTGAGCTGACATGTCTCCATTGCTTCATGTCCGTGACTTCTCTTATAGCCAATACTTTTTTGGCAACAAAGGTGTGGAAACGTTTCCCAGCGTTACCAATATACTTCAACACCATCATACTGTCCGTCCAAAACACAGAGTCCGCCAGTGGTACACTGAGTTCATGTTGCACTGTTGTGTCAGCATGTGCTGCCAGTACGGAGGCACAAAGTTCTAGCCGTGGTATGGTTTGTTGCTTTAAAGGTGCTAGTCAGGCTCTGCCGCACACAAAGGAACAGTCAATTGTTCCTTCCTGGTCTACAGTCCTCAGGTAGGTGACGACTGCATAAGATGATTGTGAAGCATTGCAGAAGTGATGCAACTGAGCAGAAGCAGTGAGGCTCAGACCAACCTGTGTATAGCAGCATGGTATCTGGAAGTCCTGCATCAGTTTCAGGTCCGACAAGCAACATTGTCAAAAGACTAGGTTGTGGTCAAGAAGAGGTATGTCCCAATTTTCTTGTCTCTTGCACTCGTTCTGGATGATGATCTTTGCCTTGGTGGTGAAAGGACAGATGGAACCCAGCGGGTCATAGACAGAGCTGACAATGCTTAGAAGCCCCCCTTTTGTCATTGGCCGGATTTGGATTTTCACCTTTGCAACAAACTGGTCCTTTTCAGTATCAGTAACAGACACAAGCAAGTCGTCTACGTAAAAGCTCTCTCTAGCTCTGGTGGTCGCTAGGGGAATTCTGAACCATATTCCTGGAAAGTTCTCTGAAATGCATAAGTAGCACAATATGGACTCCACACCCCTCCAAAGATATGCACTGTCATTCGGTAGGTAGTTGGGGTTCCCGAAAGGTCTCCATTTTCCCACCAGAGGAATCTTAGGGCATCCATGTGTTCAGGGTGCACCTTGACCTGACGAAACATGGCTTCACTATCAGCCATCAGCGCAAATGTCTCCAACAAAATCTTATGAGGACTCCAAAGAGTGTGTTGTTGAAGTCTGGTCCTGAAAGTACCTCGTTGTTTAGTGACACATTGGCAAATGTTGCAGCACAATCGAAAACAATGCGATTCTTCTCTGGTTTATTTGGATTTAGTATTGGATGATGAGGCAGATGCCAAGTTCTTCCAGGATTTGCTGTTAGTTCCTCTTTTGGCACCTTCTCCGCGAAGCCCTTAGTGATAAACTGTTAAATTTCTGCAACATGTCTTAGTTTCAGCCCTGCATTTCTTAAGAGGCGTTTTCTCAGACTATTCAGACGTCTGACAACAAGTGATCTGTTATCCGGTAGGTTAGGTGGTTTTCGCCGGAATGGAATGGGAAACTGATAGTGTCCATTTATCATCGCACCTGTCGATGACCAGAGCTGGACATCTCCTTTGTCCTCCAGCGACACTGGCGCATCAATTGTAGTTTTTTGAAAAGTCATCTCCAATTCCCAGAAGCGCCTTACTTGTGTCTCCAAACGTGTCGCAGTAGGAGGGAGAGCCGGTGGTGAGCCCATGACAGCAAGAGTAGTAAAATTTTCATGGGCCATTGGGCCATTTACTGTCCATCCGAGTTGAGTCCTCATTGCAAATGGTGCTCCATCTCGCCCTGTCCAGCACTCTAATAGAATCAAGGCTCTTGGACAGTCCTGCCCTATTAGTAGCTCAACATCTTGAACATCAGACACAGGTGGTATGATTTCTCGAAGATTTTCCCAATCGATTACATCCATAGTGGACGCTACTGAGTCTCCCAGTGACGGAGCAAGCGGTCAATCACCAGTACACCTTGGAGTAATAGTGTACGTTTAGACCTTCGCACCTGATCGCCTTTGACTTCCAAGTCTATCCCCAATGTATGTTGTCGTTCTTCATGGTTAAGAGTGTCAATAAAGAGTGACACTGGTTTTCCATACGTGTTCAATCGCTGCAGTAGACTCTTCGCACAGAAGGACCGATTACTGCCGGAGTCCAGGAGTGCATTCGTTCTTGTCGTGCGCCTTGAGTTCGGCCCCTTTACCTCCTCCTCCAACAGTGGAAGAGCCACCCTGCACTTCTTTAGTCATTGACTGGGTCCTGCTTTCTCCCTCTTGGTTGACTCTCCAGAGTCCCGATATGGTTTCTCAAGTCGGCCTCCATCTTCATGACCTCATGGCTTCTTGTCGCATCGTTCATGCCAATCATCTTATTGTGTAGGTTCCGACCTTTCTCTCTTGATGCCGTGGTTCCTCTTGATTGAGTAGTCACATGTGTCCCTAGTCCGTTCATCATGGTCACGAGACTTATTCTTATCTGTTTCTTGGCTCTGGCGTCTATATTCATACCTTTTCCTTTGCATGGACTTGGGAGAAGGGTGTAACCATCTGGAGTGTAACTCTGAACACCCATTAGTGTTACACGGTGAGTATCCCGTCGGACACGCATTGGCCTGGTGTCCCTTTCTGAGACACAGGAAGCAGTACCGCAATCGTTGTACAGTTCGGATTCTCTCAGATACTGTTATAGGACGAAACTTGTGGCATCGATTCAAGTTATGATCTTCTGAGCAGAGCGAGCAAGCCTTGCGCTCTGCGCCCATGACAACCAGCCCTACAGCACGCCTGCAAGCATTATTGTCGGCATATCGCCTATCTCTGGCTCCCCATGTTTCTGTGGATGCCTCTCTCGCATTTCCAGTACCAGCGGCTGTCTGTATAAAAACCCAGACATGTTCTAACTCTGGTTCCTTTTCTCCTTGAGCTTCAAACTCCTTCATTTTGCTTCGGTGTTTCTTGCGCAAGTGACTGGGTAACTTCTCAACCAGCAACTCTTTCCCCAACGGATTATCAACTTGCCACAGTGCACCGCTGGGCTCTAACTTACAGATACATACATTCAGCCTGTCTGCTAGGTATTGAAGTCCCACTCTATCATTAGTACGTACCGACGGGGTCAACATCAGGTCCTGAATCTGTTCACGAATAAAGGCATCTTCTCCACCAAATCGTATCTGCAGTGTTTTTAGAGCCCGTTGATAGCCGTTTTCTACAGTACTTTATGAGTATAGGTGGTCTTGAATTTCTCCAGAACAAGCCTGTAGGAGGATGCGCATCTTCTTTCAGACATCTGGATCCTGTCTACATCGTCATTGAAGCAATGCATGAAGCTCCAATACTCGAGACGGCTTTTCCCTTTGAAGGTCTCGGGAGTGTAAGGCTGACATAACCCTGTCCAGCACCTCCCATGGTTCCTTACTCTTTATCTGCAGACTGTGATGGTATAACCTTAATTTTATCAATAGTAGCCTCATTCTTGGGTGTGGTCACATCACCTTGGTTTCTTCCATGGTTCTTTTTTTCCCTCACCGGCTGATCCTCCCCCGACGAGGCCGTGCATCTGCTACAAATTTGCTCTGTTGGGCCTTCTTGACAGGGTCATTGCCCTTCCTTGTAGCTGCAGGTTTGACTATACCTTTTTTGGAGATGAACTCTTCAATGTAGCTTACCAGTCCAATGGTCGCTGGTTTCTGGGTTTTGGCTAGTTCCTGGTTGGGGTGAGTAGTGCCTATCGCTGACAGTTGGTACACTTTCCAGTTCATCTTGTTCTTGAGTTGTGTGGCCAGCTAGTAGTGGTTATTCATCATTTTCCACATCTAGATCGATTTCTTGTGGCCACTCATTATTTTCTATGTCCGCCATTTCGTCCAGTTAGGTGAGGTTGTTTGTGATTTGTGGTGGTGTATGGGCAGAGTTCAGCTGGTCCTGGCAATAGCAGCAAGTACACACTGATGTGTCTGGGGAATTGGTACAAGCGCACACTTCTGCTATGCCTTGGGAGTTGGTACAAGTGCACACTTCTGCTATGCCTTGAGGGTTGGTACAAGCGCACACTTCTGCTGTGTCCTGGGGGTTAGTACAAGCGCACACTTCTGCTGTGCCTCGGGGGTTGTGGTCTTGACACTTTAGGTACACATGCTTTAGTTGAGTAGCAATCTATGTCAGGGATAATTTGAAGTGTGAAATCAATAAGGAAATAAAAACTGAACTGAATACATAAACAATTTGGATAGAATTAACTGATGGTAGGGAAAAATTAATCATGGGAGTAATATATAGACCTCTTAATCTTGATAGGGTTAATGAACAACTTATTTGGGATGAAATGCACAGGGCATCCAGACATAGCAAAGTCTGTATAGTAGGCGACTTTAACTTAGTCAAATACATTGGACCGACCTTACTGGTAACTCAGAATCAGAGGATTTTCTTGAAACAATTCAGGACTGTTTCCTAAGTTAACATATAGCCGAACCCACCCGTGGTTATTGTAGAACTTAATGTCAGTCAAAAACTTCCATGAAATTCCCAGATTTCAAAGGGCAAACAATGATATGATGAAAAAGCAGCTGAGAGAAGGGGTTTTATGTTGGGGGAATTACATGACCTCATATGAGGTGGTAAATAATGTGACCTAACACAATGTATCCACAGAGGATGACCTCATTTTAGCAGGTGACTTGACAACAATACCCTCACAAAATATGACCAGTGAGGGTGACCTGACCACGAGATTTGAGATTGACGAGTTCCATAACAGCTTAAATAATGAGTTACTTAATGCACAAAGGCAGAATACTCGTATGCCATACAGAAAACTGAGATCATATAACAATTACCCCAAATGGAAAGCTATAGGCTATAGGTAGAAGAATAAATCGTGATGAAGTTTGCCTCCATGATTATTATAGAGTATTGACCAGTATGGGTTAAAACAGAGATAAGAAAGGCAAAGAGGATCAATGAACTTGGTAGCAAAGTCAAACCCAAAGGAATTCTTCTAAATGTATCAAACTAAAACTCGAGACAAGATTGTACCATTAGTCAGACACTGGTGAACTAAATGATAGAGACGGAGAAGTGAGCAATAATTTGAACAGATATTTTGTCATCAGTTTTCTCAACCGAAAATTAAAACATGATATCCGAGGCACCAACTACCTGCAGAGATAGTGAAGGAAATAGATTAAGAGAGATAGTAATGACTAGTAACGAAGTTAGTAAACAAATAAGTAAACTAAAACCTAATAAGTCGCCAGGTCCCGACGAGATATTTGACAGAGTATTAAAGAAATGTAAGGAAGAACTTAGTATGCCCTTTGCAAACTTGTTTAACATGTCATTAAAAACCAGTGCAGTTCCAGATTCGTAGGTAATTTACTGGAAGCAATAATTTCAAACTCAATTCGAAATCACCTCAAGAAACACAAATTGATCAATAATTTTCCCAGCATGGCTACACAAGTGGAAGTTCATGTCTGACAAATCTGTTATCGTTATTTTCGACTGTTTTCGAATCAGTGGATGACGGAAACGATTATGGTATAGTTTAACTCGACTTTAGCAAAGCCTTCGACAGGGTCCCCACTCCCTTATGAAAGACTGATGCGTAATGTGGAGGCACTTGGAGTTGGAGGAAATATTCTAAACTGGATTAG